TTGTAGCTAATTGATGGATATTATAGGCAGTTCTCTAGATCAGTGGTTCTCAACCTTCCTAATGCCGCAACCCCTTAATACAGTTCCTCATGTTGTGGTGACCCCCAACCATAAAATTATTTTTGTTGCTACTTCATAACTGTAATTTTACTACTGTAATGAATTGTAATTACATATATGATATGCTGGATGTATTTTCATTCACTGGACCAAATTTGGTACAAATACCCAATACGCCCAAATTTGAATGCTGGTGGATTTATTTTGTCATTTGGGAGTCGTAATTGCTGGGATTTATAGTTCACCTACAATCAAAGAGCATTCTGAACTCCACCAATGGTGGAAATGAACCAAACTTGGCACACAGAACTCCCATGAGTAACAGAAAATACTGGAAGTATTTGGTGGGCATTGGCCTTTAGTTTTGGAGTTGTAGTTCACCTACATCCAGAGATCATTGTGGACTCAAACAATGATGGCTCTGGACCAAGCTTGGCACAAATACTCAATATACCCAAATGTGAACACTGGTAGAGTTTAGAGAAAACAGATGTTGACACTTGGGAGTTGTAGTTGTTGGGATTTATAGTTCACCTACAATCAGAGAGCATTCTGAAACTCACCAATTATAGAATGGCCAAACTTCCCACACAGAACCTCCATGACTAACAGAAAATACTGTGTTTTCTGGTGGTCTTTGGTGACCCCTCTGACACCCCCTTGTGAGCCCCCCCCCCAGGGGTCCTGACCTCCAGGTTGAGAAATACTGCTCTAGATGTTCCTGTCATTCTGGGTTTCAAGACTGCTTGCAGCAGGTCGAGGGATCAAACACAAAGGAGAGACATGCCCCTGTAAAATATTTATGGATTGGAAATTTTAGCTATCAAGACAGAAAAGGAATGAAGAAAAATACTGAAAAATCAGTAGACATTGGTAGGGGAAAAAACAATCCCAAAGTTCATATATTAGGATTCCTCTGCTTTAATTCTTAGTCTAGGATTAGTTTGCAAAGCTTCCAGACAATTTCACATAAATTAACACAGAAATGCTTTTAAAGCAGAAATGTTGTGGTAATAATGAAAAAGTTTCCCATTCAGGTTCCTACAGATTAGTACAAGCTGCAGCAACTATTTTTGTTTTAGCCATTAAGCAACAGTTACAGTGACACTGACAATGCTTTTGTTCATAGAGACCCACCCCTGCCTATTAATAAAACCTGTAATTTGTTTTTCTTTATTAATCAACTGCCAGGCAATCCTAGGTATGCTTATTAAGACTTCATCTGTCTGAAGTTCAACAAGACTTATCTGTTCATGTACAGCAGACTCTCCATATCCACAGSTTCTTGATCCATAGATTTAACCATCCTACAGCTTGAAAATATCYTTAAAATAAATTAAAAAGCAAACCTGGTATGGGACAACATTTTCCTATACCATTGTATATAATGGGACTTGAGGTTCCACAGATTTTAGCATCCGAGGGGGGGGGGGGGTAGACTTGTATACCAAGGGTCATTTCTATTTATATGAGGTTCACCCAAATAATGACAAATACAAATGATTTTGAATTATATGAAGGGTAACACTCAATCATTCTTGTTATTATGTGCCTTCCAGTTATTTCCTATTTATGGCAACTCTGTTATAGGATTTCTTGGCAGGATTTGATTAGAGAGGGCTTGACTTTGCTGTCCTCTGAGGCTTTTGTGTGTGTGTGTCAGGAGTGACTGGAGGAACTGCAAGACTCTTCTGGTGTGAGAGAATTGGCCATCTGCAAGGACATTGCCCAGGGGAAGCCGGATGTTTTACCATCCTGTGGGAGGCTTCTCTCATATCCCCACATGGGAGGCTGGAACTGACAGATGGGAGCTCACTGCACTCCCTGGATTCGAACTGTCAGCACAAGGCTTTAACCCATTGCACCACCAGGGGCTCTTCCTCGGCTGAGAGAGTGTGACTTGTCCAAGGTCATTAGGCATCCATGGATCAGGATTTGAATCCTTGCTCAGCCATGGAAGCTTGATGAGTGATCTTGGACAAGTCACATCTTCTGAGACTGAGAGTGTGAGTTGTCACTCATCAGGCTTCCATGGCTGAACAAGGATTCAAACTCTGGTCCATGGACTCCTAATACAACATTGTTACCATGAATTATTAAATGCTTGATAGTTTCCAGGGCTACACTGGGAAATTTGCCCTGAGATTCCTTAAAGCAAGGAATATACAACACAACTGAAGGCCTATATCTTCTGGCAGGCCTCCCAAGTCAGTTTTAATGATGAATTTTAAATTCAAACTCTGTGTTTATTGTTTTAATTTTGTTCCAAAAATGTTTTGTTTTAATAGGTGCCAAAATGTTTTAATATGTGCTTTTTATGAAATGTATTTTAGTATTACGATATATTTTAACTATGTTGTACCTCGAGTGAGATAGTTGTCTTCTCTGGAGGTTTTTAAGCAGGATGGCCATCTGTCAGGGATGTTTTGATTGTATTTTCTTGCAAGACAGAATGTGGTTTGACTGGATGGTCCTTGTGTTCTCATTCCAAATCGAAAATCTATGAAGTCACATCTTTTTACTACTTACTTCACTTAGGCAATTCCTCGTTGTCCGAGCATGATGGTCTTCCAAGTGTGGTGTCCTGGTGGTGGATACGTAGGTGACTGTGGAGCCCTATTTTTGACCCGCATGTTCTTCCACAGTGAGGACCTCAGTTTCCAGGTGGAAGGCGGTCCTGGTCAGGGTTGGCTTGACATGCTTTCCTCTTGGTATGCTTCTCCCTTTCGCCCTCCGTTTGTGCCTATTTGAATTCTGCAGCACTGCTGGTCACAGCTGTACCTTTGAACTACAGTACACTCTCAATTAACCAGAACTCAAGCAAGGAGCCAAAACACCTAGAAAAAACAATATTTTAAATAAACTCTATTTTTACAATATAATATAATACAGTAAAACTGTGTTACATTAAGTTTGTCTTTATTTGCTTTTAATTTACTGCATTTCAATATCAAATTAACATCAAGTTTATGGTATGGTAGAATATTCGTTAGCCTACTGTTAGTAGTAACTCTTCGGTAACCTTAAACTACATTTTTGTGGCACCAACCAATCCCCATGGGTGCCGATTAACGGAGAGTCTACTGTAATCTGTTGGGAGTGCTTTGATGGTGTATTCCTGAATATTTATTTTCATGTCAGGAGCGACTTAAGAAACTGCAAGTCGCTTCTGGTGTGAGAAAATTAGCCATCTGCAAGGAGGCTTCTCTCATGTGGGAGGCTTCTCTCATGTACCCACATGGGAAGCTGGAGCTGACAGATGGGAGCTGACCCTGCTCCCCGGATTCGAACCACCGACCTTTCGGTGCTGTCCTGCCAGCACAAGGATTTAACCCACTGCGTCACCTGGGGAGGGTGGGTCTCCTGAATGACAGAATGGGGTTGGAATGGATGACCTTTGGGTCTCTCTTCCAACTTCATCTATGAAGCGATATTTTGAAGCAGAGTCTCAAAGTCATAATTCGTGTTTATATGTTGGGTTGTTTACATTTTGTTAGCATGGATGTATTGTTGTTGTAGTCGGTCATTTAATGATTGCCTTTTATGTTTGGATTCTGCCCTGAGTCCCTTCAGGGAGATAAAGCAGAATATAAATAGTATTATTATTATTATTAAATTATTTTTTTGATTGGGGAATTTTGGAAGCTATAGTCTTCCCATATACTAAGTAACCCTTTTCCCAGTCTTAGTGCCCCAGGGAAGCAAAGACACCAAGCAGTTTTTAAGCAGAGGATGGACCTCACAACCTCTGAGGATGCCTGCCATAGATGTAGGCGAAATGTCAGGAGAGAATGCTTCTGGAACATGGCCATACAGCCCAGAAAACTCACAACAACCCAGTGATTCCGGCCATGAAAGCCTTCGACAATGCAGAGGATGGATGGTCATCTGTTGGGAGTGCTTTGATTGTGTATTACTGTCCTCAAAACTCTACAAAATATGAAGCTACATTTTGGGAGGAATAAAAGCCACTGAAATCCACAAGCATGTGGACAATTTCAACAGAAAGGAAGAAACCATGACAATGAACAAAATTTGGCTACCAGTATTTTTAAAAAACCCTAAAATCATAACTGCAAATAAAGAACAACATTCAAAAACAGGGTAACTCCAGACAAGAAGCAATCAGGAACAGCTAATCACTTGTCAACAAAGGATTCCCCCAGGCAGTAAGAAGCCAGACCTTGAAACTGCTAGGCTATTCAGTGCTAATCAAGGTGACCAATGGAACCATTCACACCTACCTCTAACATACAAGAGTTCTTTCTCCCACCCTGGATATTCCACAGATATATAAACCCAAATTTCCTAGTTTCCAACAGACCTCACAACTTCTGGGGATGCCTGCCATAGATGCAGGTGAAACGTCAGGAGAGAATGCTTCTGCAACATGGCCATACAGCCCGGAAAACTCACAACCCAGTGATTCCGGCTGTGAAAGCCTTCGACTATACAAAGAGTGGATGGTCATCTGTCAGGAGTGCTTTGATTGTGTATTGCTGTCCTCAAAACTCTACAAAATATGAAACCACATTTTGGCACAACTTCTGAAATATGGCCATACAGCCCGAAAAACTTACAGCAACCTTTCTGGAAGGAAAGCTTGCAAGCTAGTTGGAAGCTGTGTTCCCCTCCACATGCCAGGGGAGCCAAGACACAAGGAACAGGTATAGTTAGGAAAGTAGAACTATCCCGGGCGTCTGAAGGTAAGAGGGAGTACAAACTCTGTTTTGGCGGGAAGGTCTGCAGCTATTATGAATGGTCCTATGGCTATCCGCAAATGGCCAAATTCATACCTGTCGGCCAATGGCGAAAGAGGAGGGCGGTGCCCGCGCGCCTCCCCATTCAATGGTCCTCGGGGGGCGTGGCCAGAGGGCTGCTGCTCCGTCCAATCAGCGGCGAGGAGAGCGGCGCCCTTTGGGCCCCTGCCTATAAAAGCCCGCCCTGAGGGCCCAGCAGCTGTTTTTGGCCGTGCAGCTCAGACCCGTAGCGCGTCTGCAGGAGCCCGGGCACCCGAAAACTTCCTTTATTTGCAACCTGCTGCAATCATGGTAAGGACATTTTATTATTTTTCCTCCTTCCCTTGTGCATTTTCCACCCATGTGATTGAACTATATTGTGTAATGCTCCAAAGTATTATTTTCCAACTTTATAATGCAGGCATGGGCAAAATTGGGCCCTCCAGGTGTTTTGGACTCCAACTCCCACCATTCCTAACATCCTCAGGCCCTTTCCTTTGCACCCTCAGCCGCAAAACACCTGGAGGGCCCAAGTTTATCCATAATGGTGTAGATGCACCCTTAGATAAGCTGGGATGGTTCCTCTTCTAAGCCTACTTTCCACATGTGGATCTAGAGTCCACCACCCAAAAGTCCTCGCCTGGCTTTAGAGTGAGACTACATTGTAGAATGAATGCAGCTTGGCTGTTAGATATGGAATAATGGGAGTTGTAGTTCCACAAGGTCTTTAGCCTGCTCTGCCAAAAGTGCTTCTCCAAACTACGACTCTTGTGATTCCATATTATGGAGCCATTGCACTGAAAAGTGATATCAAACTGTCTTTATTCTGGGCCGTCCCAGAAGCATTCTCTCCTGATGTTTCGCCCCATGTATGGCAGACATCTTCAGAGGTTGAGGGGTCTCTTGGAAACTAGGCAAGTGGGGCTTATATATTTGTACAATGTCCAGATTCCAAATTTTTTTTATTACTTATCATTTTACTACAAAAACATATAAATACAATGAAAGTGGGGGGGTGATATTTGTCATAGGAAAATAAGAAATTCAAGAAGTAAAAAGAAATAGAAAAGAGAGAGAAAAAGGAGAAAAAAACGCATACAAAAATTAAAATAAGAAAAAAGTGGTGAACTCTTGTCTGTTTGAGGAAAGTGTGAATGTAGTAATTGGCCACCTTGAATAGCCTAGCAGTTTTCAAGGTCTGGCTTCTTACTGCCTGGCGGAATCCTTTGTTGGGAGGCGATTAGCTGGCCCTGATTGTATGGCCATATTCCAGAACCTTGGCCACCTTCATCAGTATTGAATAGCCTAGCTGTTTTCAAGGTCTGGTTTCTTACTACCTGGGGGAATCCTGTTTTGGGAGGCAATTAGCTGGCCTTGATTGTATGGCCATATTCCAGAACCTCTGAGGATGCCTGCCATATATGTGAACAATACGTCAGCAGATAATGCTTCTGGAAGATGGCCGTACAGCCTGGAGAGCTCGCAGCAACCCAATGATTCCTGCCATGAGTGCCTTCAATGACGCTAACTACTTCATCACACTAGAAAATGAATCCACTTTAAATCCAGTTTCTGCCTCCTGCAGAATTCTGGAGTGTAGTTTAGGGAGGAGCCTTTAACAGCCCCTCTTAAACTACAAATCCCAGAATTCTGTAGGAGACAGAAACTGGATTTAAAGTGGATTCATTCTCTAGTGTGATGAGGTAGTCTTTATTCTGTATATGCAGCCTCGGGACCCACTCCACTGCCATATAACTGCATTATGTGGCAGTCTAGATGGGGCCCCACTCTGGAGTCTGCTGTAGCCTCGAATTGCAGGCCAAGTCCTTTCCCTACCCACTTTTTCAACCCACTTGCTGCCTGAAAATATAATTTTTCACTTGTGAAATGTGCCCTGTGGGCCTCTAACATTGTGAAACATGTGAAGGTGTGAACACGTCTAGAGCCTGAAAATTCAAAGTTCAAAATGCCTCTCAGCTGAACGTTTAGAGCTGACATCTTGAGAAACAAAGTAAAAAAAACACCCCAAAACTTTAATGATCAGGAGTGGAAGTTATTGCTTTTCTACACCTGGCCTCCTTTTGAAGTATCCTGGGCTTTTATGGGCTTCTCACTCCCTTCTGATTGTCTTTTTTGGCATCCAGACACCCAATTCTGGTGGCCCAGCAGCTTGGCGCACTTTTTCTTTTTTCTCCCCCTCTTTCCTGTAGTAAGTTTGTTTGGAAGGATTGCTGCAAAATGGTGGGAAGTTACTAAAGAAGATGGCTGCCTCTGAGTTCTTTGCATTTTTGGGTGTTTTCACATCTGTGCCGGATCTAGGCGGAGGTTTTAGTGCTTCAGTTTGGGTATCGGGTTAACCATCATTTTCATGCTAATTGCTTTGCTCTGCCACAAATGTATACGTTTAGCACAAGTCTTTTAGACTTCCTTGTTACATTCTATCACTTGGTTCCTCCAAGTGTGACTTCCTCCTTTTATCTTGAACGACAGCGAAATGAGAAATTTGCTTCAGTGGAGGCTTAGAAACAATAGCAAATTATAATTTGGGATTCTAAACATCTTATTAAAATGTTGTCCTGGATCTGACCACTTGGATATCTTGACCTTTGAATACTAGGTGAAAGATGGCTTACATAAAAGTATCAAAACTGTCGCAGAAGCAGAAACGAATGCTAGGCATGCAGATAAAACTACTTACAATCAGGGAATTAATACCACTGTAGACTATAAGTCAGGCATGGGCAAACTTGGGCCATCGGGGTGTTTTGGACTTCAACTCACACAATTCCTAACAAGCCTACCGGCTGTTAGGAATTGTGGGAGTTGAAGTCCAAAACACCCCGACGGCCCAAGTTTGCCCACGCCTGCCATAGATGGTAGGGGGCAAGGTAACTGACCGGGGAAGATATTTTTGCTCTCTTATCAGGCAAAGAAGGCTTGGGAAAAGTGGCTTTATTTCTCAGCTTTGTCCCATGTGCTCTTCTGAGAATCTTACGAGATAAGTGGGACTAGTATGACTCTCCAGATGTTTAACTACAACTCACAGGTTTGCTCACCACTGGCTGTGCTGTTTGAGGCAGCTGGGAGTTGCAATCCACTAACATCTGGAGGATTTCACAATCCCTATCCCTCCATTATTACGAGGTTAAGAAGCTTAACTGAAAACGACAACAATTAGGTTTTCCGATCTGGTGCGACACTGCAAGCAGGGCAGCGCTGACAGCTGTTTGCAGAGCTCCTTTACAGAGGTCATCAAATGGATCGTGGCCATCGGCTGTTTTCTTTGCTTAGAGACAATCTGTCTGCTTTTGTGTAATTTCTGGGTTGAGAAGGGAGACACTGTGTTTCGTTCCATGATTTGTGATTTGAAGTACATGTCAGAAACACAAAAGAGCTGGAGGGGTTTATGTATGTCTGAGTGGCCTGCATTCCGTACCTGGTGCAATTGTGAATTTTATGGTTGGAGTGTCCTTTTGGGCAACTTTTCAGTAGAAATGTGCGGTTTCCAGTCTTTCTGGCCTGTTGCCCTCTGGATGTTTTTAACAATTCCTATCCATATCTGTCATTACAGCCTCTGGGTAAAGCTGATAGGGATTAGCATTAAAAACATCTGGAGGCTGCAAATTAAAAATAATGATTGGCTAAAGAAAGTGAAGGGTCGTGGTGGTGCAGTGGGTTAAACTGCTGAGCTGCTGTACTTGCTGTCTGGAAGGCTGTCTGGAATCCGAGGGGCAGGGTGAGCTCCTGCTGTTAGCCCCAGCTTCTGCCAACCTAGCGGCACTTTGCTGCAATCATGCCGGCCACATGACCTTGGAGGTGTCTATGTACAACGCCAGCTCTTCGGCTTAAAAATGGAGATGAGCACCACCCGCCAGTGTTGGACTCGACTAGACTTAGTGTCAAGGAGAAACCTTTACTAAAGAAAGTAGATGGCAGGACAGAAAGTGGAGCATGGGATTGGTATTCTCTAATCCAGGGTCCTCAAACTTTTAAAGCAGAGGGTTGGTTCACTGTCCCTCAGACTGCTGGGGGGCTGGACTATATTTTGAGAAAAACAGACAAATTCTCATACACACTGCAGAAAACATGAAAGAACAATACAGTATTTAAAATTATGAACAATTTTAACCATCATAAACTTACCAGTATTTCAGTGGGAATGGTGGGACTGCTTTTGTTGATCATATAGTCAAGTTAATTCAGATTGTTGTTGTGTGACTTGAAGTTGTTTCAGACTTAGGGTGACCCTAAGTCCAAAGTTTAGACCAAGGACCGAGTAAATGACTTTGGAGGGCCACATCCAGCCCATGGGTCTTACTTTGAGAACCCCTGCTCTAATCTTTTGTGATGGATCTGTGTTATTCTTACCATGTGCCTCCAAACTCACTGGAAGGGAAAGGAGAACCTTGTGGAACATTGCCACTAAACAACTACATAGTAATACCTATGGATTAATTAGCACAGGATGGAAGGGGTGGGCTCCTTGAATGTAATCATTTTTTACTCTGCCCTCAGCCACGTATCCAGCATTCACTGGGTGGCCTCAAAAAAAGCTGGAAAGGAGAGATGTGGAAAAGACAAATGTATGAGAAAACTAGTGGAATAAGATCCAGGCAGCTTAGTGCTTACAAAAATATCTGTCATTATGTTCTAAAAACTGCTCATTGAACTAAAAATGAAACAGTGCACTGGACTGTGTACTTGAGATTATTGCATGATTATCCTTCTGGGATTTTAAAAAAAGATTAACTCAAAATTTTAGTATTTTATAAAATGAATGGGAAATATCCCAAAATAGTATCAACTGAGCTTTAGGGACGTTTGGGTCATATTTTACCAATCAAGACCACTGATTAGGCATATTGGAATCTGGAAAGGCAGAATTATTTGCTTTAAAATAAGCTCAGTGGTATCTCCATCTTGAGTGATACTCACCAGCCTTTTCAGCAGCTGAAAACAAACTAAGCAGGTTTTATACTCACTGTTCCAATTACTCTTAGAAACTGGATCAGAAAAAAAAGCCAAGGGAAGAAATTGCTATTAAGAATAAGAATGACCCACATAAAAGCCTCCTTATGGTGAAAGTTCCTCACTGAGAGAAATAGAGAAATATATATGAAGGGAAAATGCCTATCTTTACATGTAGGCACCTTGATTGGTTTTGATCAAGCAGGACTATTTGGTGTTCTAGTTAAATTATATGGCTATGAACAAAGCGTACTAGATGGCAAAAGAAGCTATTGCCTAAATCAGGGGTCCTCAAACTAAGGCCCGGGGGCCAAATACGGCCCTCCAAGGTCATTTACCTGACCCTCGCTCAGGATCAACCTAAGTCTGAAACAACTTGAAAGCATACAACAACAACAATCCTATCTCATCAGCCAAAAGCAGGCCCACACTTCCCATTGAAATACTTATACATTTATATTTGTAAAAACTGCTTTCATTTTAATTTTTGCATTGTTTTTAAGTACCTTTTTGCACTACAAATAAAATATGTTCAGTGCGCATAGGAATTCATTCATTTTTTTCAAATTGTAATCCGATCCTCCAACAGTTTGAGGGACTGTCACCTGGCCCTCTGTTTAAAAAGTTTGAGGACCCCTGCCCTAAATGGTTGAGATAGTTGCAAAAGTGGCTGGAATAATTCAAGAAAAATGCAAGAGATGTGCTATCTCATGCATTAGCTATTGTGGGTTCTCCGAATGGTGAGTTCTTCTGTTAGTTATGCTGTTATTTTAGTTTTACTGTTGTCAATATTTTTCTTGTTTACCCTCATAGACTTGGCATCTATTTTAAGCAGGGATTTTCAAACTTTTTAAGCTTAGGACCAGTTCATAGTTCTTTAGACTATTAGAGCAGGATTGAGCAAACTTTCTAACTTAGGGGCCACATGCCAGGCAGGCTGGGAGGAAGAAACTTCTCCTCCAGTCCCCTTCCTCTTTCCTCCCCTTTCCGGAGGCAGAAAGTGAAGGAAAGACAGGAAATGTTTGGATCCTGAAAGGGTTGGTCTAGGTCAGGATGAGAGTTGAGACCCCAAAGGGCCATCCAGTCCAACCCCCTGCCATATAGGAAGAAACAATCAAAGCATTCCTCATAGACAGCCTCTGAGGAGAAGCCTCCAGAGGAGACTTCATCACACTCCTGGCAGTCTATGGCATTCTCCAGGACCTTCTTCCTAATCTTTTCAGTCAGATCTCTTTCCCTGCCATTTGAAACCATTGCTCTCTTACTCCCTGGTCTCTAGAGCAGCAGAAAGTCACCCCCCCCCCACTCCTCAATGGGACACCCTTTTAAATCTTGAAAAATGATCTCTACTTTCTCTTTTTCCAGCTGAACATCCATGAGGAAAGGAGGAAGGAAAAAGAAGGATGGGAGGGAAGAGAAGAAAGACAAAAAGGAAGGAAGGAGAGGGAACAAGGAAGGAAGGATGACAGGGTGGGAGGGAGAAAGGGGGGTAAGGAAAGTGAGAAAAGAAAGAGAGGTGGAAGAAAGGATAGGATGGTGAGAGGAGGACCTGAAAAAAGAGCCCAAGGAACCGCATTTAATACCTGTATTAGAGGGTTGGACTATGGTGTGAAAAAAAATGAATGAAGTCCTATGCCTATCTTATTTGCAGTGCAAAATTCAAGAAAAACAATATAATATTTTTTTAAAAACCAATTTTAAGCAACATAAACTTTTCAGTACTTCAGTGGGAGGAAGTGTGGGCTTGTTTTTGGCTAATGAGATAGTCAAGTTAACTAGGATTGTTGTTGTGTGCCTTCAAGTTGTTTCCAACTTAGAATGACCCTAAATCTACAAGGTTATGGGCGGGGGCTGGGAAATGACCTTGGAGGGCCACATTTGGCCCATAGGCCTTAGTTTGGGAACCCCTCATTTAAAGTCATTACAGTTTTAATTCAGTTCAAGGAAAGCTGCATTCCTGAAGTGCCAGTGGATTAAATGGCAGCCTGCTTTTCAATTTATGATAAAGAATGAAAGAAGATGAAATGTATTTTAACTTCCCCCTTTTCTCCCTTTTCCCCATAATAGCGTGAGTGCATCTCAATCCATGTGGGTCAAGCTGGCGTGCAAATTGGCAATGCATGCTGGGAGCTCTACTGTTTGGAGCATGGCATCCAACCCAGTGGGACCATGCCAAGTGACAAAACAATTGGTGGCGGTGATGACTCGTTCAACACCTTCTTCAGTGAGACGGGGGCCGGAAAGCATGTTCCTCGTGCAGTGTTTGTGGATCTGGAACCAGCAGTGATAGGTAAATATGGCCTATTTGGTTTGGGTTCAGGAAGTGCTGTGTTGGTATATCAGAACCCGCAAGGTCTGAAGATCCATTTTTTCCTTGTTGCCTCTTGCACGTTATGTAAATTAGATGGCATACATTTAACTATAAACTGACCCAGAGCAAAACACTAGAGATTGATATTCTGATAGATGGTTAATCTCCATTTTAATTTTAGCCTTGTTTGAACAATTATCCTTGTGAAATTAGACAGTCTTTCTCTACCATCTGTTCTTTACTACAACGTTCTGCTGCAAAGTAACTTACAGATTTCAAGCATCCCACGTTGTTTGGTTCATGAAATAATATAGATCACAAGAGTTGAACTCAAGTTTTTAAAAAGTGTCTAAATTTTTCCTCAGCTAGAAAAATATCTAAATATCTAATTTGCACTTATGCATGCACACATTTAGCTTATATTTTGCATTTCTTCCTGAAAAGGAACTCTCTGTTGCAAATTGATGAAGTCAGTAATGCTTCTAGGCTTTCACATTTTTACTTACCATGACTTGTGTCCTAAACAAAAGGCAAGAGCATATTAATGTTACATAGGAGTAGAAAGTATCATGTTTGAAGTATTCCTAACCATATTCAGATTCCCTGAAAACATCCTTTCCTCTTTCTCTTCACTGCAGCAGGCTGTGGCTGCCAGTTCTGTTATACAATAACATGCTTTCTGTTGCAGATGAAGTGCGGAATGGGACATACAAACAGCTCTTCCACCCTGAGCAGCTGATTTCTGGCAAAGAGGATGCCGCAAATAATTATGCAAGAGGTCACTACACTGTGGGCAAAGAAATAATAGACTTGGTATTGGAGCGTGTCAGGAAGCTGGTATGTTCTAGTGCTTTTGTATTATGAAACATAAATTGGGACATTTGCAGTACTGAGGATTTGACATTCACCTGGCATTTTGAGTCTTTAAGTATTCTCTGGCACTATTATTCCCCGCCCCAAACAAAAAAAATCAAAGTGGAAACTCAATATGGCACTCCATTAGGAAGTGGCTATTGCTTTAGGCTATTTATTCTGTGCTTAGGAGAATTAGGTGATTCTGATGTGACAAGCTTTGTCTGATTAAGGCAACAAAGCACGAACAAACTTACTGGTAACCTCCACCCTGCCTAGTGTCCATACTTCTGTTAGTGGGGAGGGAGGAGCTGAAAAAATACCTTCATCTGCCGCTTCTCTTGTTATTTGGAATCAAACTTGAAGAGGGAATGAGAGGCCCATGATGACACAAGTTAAAGGTAGTAGAAGTCTGAATTCTGAGAGTCATAATTGGTTCATAGACTGCAGGTAATGAAATTTGCTTGTGACTCCAGTACAAGAAAACACCTTTCTTTTGGACATTAAATATTTGCACAGCTAGCTTGGGAACTACTGACAGTTTTTGTTATAAAGGCAGGGTGTGCAGCTTCAGAAGATCTGGAGCTGGATTTTCTGCTCCTGGGACTCTTGAGGCTTTATAGACTTACAAAATGAAGGAGAAAGGACCTGGTTGGAAGTCCTGTTCATTTTTAATGGCATTTATTTGCTAAATTGTAGCCTATTTAGAAGATGTATTTATTCCTGGGAGGATTTTAGTATTTAACATAGGTGTGTCTTGGAAGAGTGAGGCCACAAAAATTATCTTGGGATTACAAATTTAGGGCCACATTTCTGTCTCCCTTTTCTCTGTTAGTACTATCATGACAGCAATCATTATTTGCAGCCTATTTAATCAGCAATACTATTGTCTGTGCTCTCCGTTTTTGCTTACAAGTGAATCTCATGAAATATTAATGGTGATTTGGGCATTTATGAGATGCCATAAACAAAATGAGATTGGCCATCTTCCTCTTAAAAATCTTCAATATTGACGTGCACATTCCTCTTTTAGGCAGACCAGTGCACTGGCTTGCAAGGATTCCTGATTTTCCACAGTTTTGGAGGAGGCACTGGTTCGGGCTTCACCTCTCTGTTGATGGAACGCCTCTCTGTCGACTATGGAAAGAAATCAAAATTAGAATTTGCTATATACCCAGCTCCGCAAGTTTCAACTGCTGTTGTTGAGCCATATAACTCCATCCTGACGACCCATACCACCCTTGAACATTCTGACTGTGCCTTCATGGTTGATAACGAAGCAATCTATGATATTTGTCGCAGGAACCTTGACATTGAACGCCCTACTTATACCAATCTCAACCGCCTGATTGGTCAGATTGTCTCCTCAATCACTGCCTCTCTCAGGTTTGATGGTGCCTTAAATGTGGATTTGACAGAGTTCCAGACAAACCTGGTGCCTTATCCCAGAATCCACTTTCCTCTGGTAACCTATTCCCCCATTATTTCAGCAGAGAAAGCTTACCATGAGCAGCTCTCTGTGTCTGAAATCACCAATGCTTGTTTTGAGCCATCCAACCAGATGGTGAAGTGTGATCCTCGCCATGGCAAATACATGGCCTGTTGCATGTTGTATCGTGGAGATGTTGTCCCCAAGGATGTCAATGCTGCTATCGCTGCTATCAAAACAAAGCGTACCATTCAGTTTGTTGACTGGTGTCCTACCGGTTTTAAGGTAAGTGATGCTGATTGAAAATATCACTGTAGCTGTATTCAGAGCTTTATTGAATGTGTAAGTATATAAGTTTGTGGACTGGCTTAAATACACTGACTTTCATTGGGCTTCAGATAACTGCATTTTAGTTTCTTCACTTGCAATTACAAGCTAGCTCCCTTTGTTTTTGTATTTTAAAAAAGGAACATAGCTACTAAAGTAATATTTTTTTGTTGGAAGTGCAGAATCTTTTTTAGTTACAGCAGATCAATCTTGGTAGGAAAGCTGCTCAAACTCAGTTGATAATATTACTAATATTGCAGTATATTATATTATAATAATTATACTAGTATTGTATAATATTACAGTATATTGTTATATTAATATATTATATAATATTACAGTATAATGGTATAGTACAAAATAGTAATATATAATACTAATATTGTGCCATGGTAATAATATATATTGTTGGATTGTTGCTGGTTTTTTTCAGGCTATATGGCCATGTTCTAGAGGCATTCTCTCCTGACGTTTCGCCTGCATCTATGGCAAGCATCCTCAGAGGTCCTCAGACCTCACACCTCTGAGGATGCTTGCCATAGATGCAGGCGAAACGTCAGGAGAGAATGCCTCTCGAACATGGCCATATAGCCCGAAAAAACCTACAACAACCCAGTGATTTGCAGGCTGGTCCATGAGGTCACGAAGAGTCGGAGACGACTGAACGAATGAACAACAACAAGCCGCTCTGAGTTCCCTTTGTGGTGAGAAGGGCAGCATATAATTGTCATAAATAAATATGTCATAACTACAACTAAACTAACTGAAATATTTCAGCATTACAGCTTTCTAACTTAATAGTTTGGTCAAGTTAGTCTATTGTGGGAAGGGGTCATTGAAAGGGGGGGGCATTTAGGTTTTAGTAAGTTACTGATTGGTGGAAAAAATAGATGAGGGAAGATTATGTTAACAAGTAGTTTATTTGGAGCTTTAATTGGTGCATGCAGAGCTCCTCAAATCACTCTACAGATAACTGGCTCCAAGTTTGATCTAATAATACTAGCTGGAAAAAAGTAGCAAGAAGGCATTGCATTTTAAGTAAAAATTAATTTAAAACACTGGTTTGACTAAAAAAGTAGCAAGAAGGCATTGCATTTTAAGTAAAAATTAATTTAAAACACTGGTTTGACTAAAAAAACCCCATAGTTAAATAGACATGATTAACTTAAATCAGTGTAGCCAAGATTAAGTTAATGAGGTTATGTGAACTCAATGATTAAAGCACGAAACAATCTCAATGTTGAATTTCCTGTTTTTTTCTTGGATGCAGCCCCCTTCTAAATGCAATATTTCCTGTGCTGTATAACAGTTATGTCATGTCCGTATTTCTGTTCCTTTCCAGGTGGGTATCAATTACCAGCCTCCAACCGTCGTTCCTGGTGGTGACTTGGCCAAAGTCCAGCGTGCAGTTTGCATGCTCAGCAATACTACAGCCATCGCCGAAGCCTGGGCCCGCCTGGATCACAAGTTTGACTTGATGTATGCCAAGCGTGCTTTTGTCCATTGGTATGTTGGAGAAGGAATGGAGGAAGGAGAGTTTTCTGAGGCCCGGGAAGACCTGGCTGCACTTGAGAAAGATTATGAAGAAGTGGGCACAGACTCCTTGGATGGTGAAGATGAAGGCGAAGAGTATTAAACTTCCCAAAAGCCTTTTTTTGTAACTGTGACCATTTACTGCTTGGCTTTTTATAAAAAAGTAAATGGGAACACAACTCAAATGTAAACTGTACTCTTATAACCAAGGTAATGTTCAGTTGATGATGCTGATGCAAGCACTATAAAACATCTGGTTGGATATAAATAAAATAGTTAACTAAAATGGAGTCACTGTCTCATTTCTATATATGCAAAAGCACTGCAAAGCAACCAGCTTTTTAGAAGAAGATTCTTGAAATTTTGTTATCATGGTTTAGATAACAAAAAATAGGTTGGCACAACTGCTTCCCTTGAAATGCTCAGATTTAATTGTAATACATTTAATTGAAGATAAGGTAAAAATTTTCCCTTGACATTAACTCTGGTCGTGTCTGATTCTGGGCGGGTGGTGCTCATCTCTTTCTAAACTGAAGAGCCGGCATTGTCCATAGACGCCTCCAAGGTCACGTGGCTGGCATGACTGCATGAAGCGCCATTACCTTCCTGTTGAAGCGGTTCCTATTTATCTACTCACATTTGCATGTTTTCAAATTGCTAGGTTTGATAAATTGAAGCTCGGGTTAACTGCTCAGAGCTCACCCCAATCATAGAATCATAGAGTTGGAAGAGACCTCATGGGCCATCCAGTCCAACCCCCTGTCAAGAAGCAGGAATATTGCAATCAAAGCACCCCTGACAGATGGCCATCCAGCCTCTGTTTAAAAGCTTCCAAAGAAGGAGCCCCCACCACACTTTGGGGTAGAGAGTTCCACTGCTGAACCGCTCTCACAGTCAGGAAGTTCTTCCTCATGGTCAGATGGAATCTCCTTTCTTCTAGTTTGAAGCCATTGTTTTGCGTCCTAGTCTCCAGGGAAGCAGAAAACAAGCTTGTTCCTTCCTCCCTGTGACTTCCTCTCACACTCCCTGGAATCAAACCGCCAACCTTTTGGTCAGCTGGTTCAGCTTATAATTTCCAAACATGATCCAGGCAAATATATTCAGATTATTGCAGCCCTACTTAATACATATACTCTATACAAATATTCCAATGAACAGATAGGTTTCAGCATGTGAGCAAACCCCCCACAAATTTGCATATCTGAATCTGGTCTTAATATTAGCTAACTTTATGCACAATACCAAACTTGTTTGTATCTGGAATACATTTTCCCAACATTTGCACACTTCTGGAAATTCTATATTGGGAAGGATAATACTACGTTTCTGTATGGATTGTGGGACCTGAACAGTTGTCAAAATAAGTATTTTAAGATTATACCTCTGAAAATGTAGAAGGAACCTAGAAGCTGTTCAAGATGGCATTTCCTGAAGTTATTGCAGAAGAGCTAAATATGTAACATGCACAAACAGCTTGCTTTGGAAAAAGCAATGCCCTTTAGCTTCTAGCTTACTTCCACCTTAAGATAGGTGTGGGTTTATCAAGCCATATGAAGAATACTAACTAGAAGCACTATTGTGTAGCTGCCAAGGCTAATTGCCTGCCAATAACATTTTTGTAAACATTTAATAATCATTAAAAGTCCATAGAAAAACTACATTTATGCAACACCTGTCAGTTTTTTAAAGCCTGATAGCATTAAAATGTTTTGACTTGCCGATGAAAACAGCAGGGACAGGGTCATAGAATCATATAATTGGAAAAGACCTCATGGGCCATCCAGTCCAACCCTCTGCCAAGAAGCAGGAAAATTGCATTCAAAGCACTCCTTCTCTGGTCTGGAAGCAGCATTGAGAAAGGTCTTCTCCTTTGTTCCCACCAAACAAGCCTGGGAAGGTAGTGGGGCGGAGAGTAGGCCTTCAGATGATTGTTGGGCTCTAAGGGGCTCATAAAAAGATTCAACAAATAACCTGGGCCCAAGCCATATAGGGCTTTTGAGGTCAAAACCAGCATTTTGAATTGTGCCTGGAAACAGATTGGCAGCCAATGGAACTGTTATAACAAGAGAGCTGTGTGCTCCTTGTAGCCAGCCCCAGTAAACAATCTGGCTACAGTTCTTGAGCCAATTTAGGTTTCTGAGCGCTTTTTCAAAGGCAACCACACATAGGAGAGCCCATTGCAGTCATCTAAATAGAATGTAATCCAAGTTGTGTGCCACCATGGAGAGATCAGACGTCTAGTTAAATATACTCCTGGTCACCACTGAAACCTGAACTCACAGGCTCAGCTGAATCCAGGGGTACCCCAAAAAACAGCCTGTATTTTCAGGGGGGTGTAACATCAAATATAGGTGAAATCAGTATTCCCAGATCTTTTGACGAACCAGGAGCACCTCTGATTGTCTGACTTAAGCTTCCATCTAGTTGCCTTCATGTAGTCTAATACAGCTGCCAAACATGTTTGGAACAAGAATGGGTTTCTTGGTATTAAATTGGAAAGGAGTAGTAGAGCTGGATGTAATCAGAATACTGATGCTTAGATTAATTAAAGAATCTGTTTAACGAGATTAATCCTTATGCTTGTGGCATGCAGCTTGAGTCCTACAGATATTGTGGCGTGCAGCTTGAATCCTCCAGATGGGATATTGACAAGCTGGAATGTGTCCAGAGGAGGGTGACCAAAATGATCAGGGGTCTGGAGAACAAATCCTATGAGGAGCAGCTTAAAGAGCTCGGCATGTTTAGCCTGAAGAAGAGAAGGCTGAGAGGAGACATGATAGCCATGTATAAATATGTGAGAGGAAGTCATAGGGAGGAGGGAGCACACTGCTTGTTTTCTGCTGCTCTGGAGACTAGGATGCAGAGAAATGGCTTCAAACTACAAGAAAGGAGATTCCATCTGAACATGAGGAAGAACTTCCTGATTGTGAGAGCTGTTCAGTAGTGGAACTCTCTCCAGAGTGTGGTGGACGCTCCTTCTTTGGAAGCTTTTAAACAGAGGCTGGGTGGCCATCTGTCGGGGGTGCTTTGAATGCGATTTTCCTGCTTCTTCGCAGGGGGTTAGACTGGATGACCCACAAGGTCCCTTCCAATTCTATGATTCTATGATTGGTGAACTTCATTCAATTCCTAGCATCTCATTATTAGCTGTCCTGGCTTGCCTTGGTAGGTGTTGCAGTTCACATACATTTCAAAGATTCATAGTTTTCCCACACCTGCTTTATATGAACAACTGTTTTACTGATGGTTAAAATATAGTTCAAGAGTGAGATTTGGAGCAGATCAACTTTAACAACATTTAGATTAAACTACTTAAGGAAGTGGTTCGCAACCTGTAGGTCCCCAGATGTTTTGGCCTTCAACTCCCAGAAATCCTAACATCTGGTAAACTGGCTGGGATTTCTGGGAGTTGAAGGCCAAAACACCTGTGGACCCACAGGTTGAGAACCACTAGCTTAAGGGGTTTTGAGGTTCTGTCACTGGCAGTTTTTAATATGTCTAATCCATGTGTCAAACTCAAGGTCCGTGGGCTAAATCCGGGCCACCATGTAATTTCATGTGGCCCTTCAGATGCTGGACTACAACTCCTACAGCTGATGAGAGTGGTGATACAGTAACATCTGGAAGGCTGCAAATCATTCAGTTTAGTGGGGTTTATATTTAGATGCAAGGCTTGTTGATCTGACGTCCTTTAACCTTTCCTCAACTTCAGGGCCACAAATTGTCGTTCACTCACATCTGGAGACCCAAACCAATTTTCATTGCTTCTCATAGGTTGCAATTCTCATTATTCCCAGACCTCATGGTGCATAATGAAAAGTCATAGAAACTGTTGTTCAATAGCATTCAGAGAACCAAACTGGATAAAAATTAAAGAGCACAAAAAGCTATGTTAAAAAATTATCATTGGCCCTCTATATCCACGGATTCTCTGTCTATGGATTCAGTGACCCTTTGAAGGCAGTTTTAAGGTTGATGTGGCCCTCAATGAAAATGCTTTTAACACTCTTGCTCTAAATCTAATCTTTATTATTATAAACTAGACCTGAAAAACATGGAATATTCTAAGAATCACTTCTGATGTGGGGAGTCCAGTGAAGTATTCAGCATTGGTTTCGGATTTGTATTTATCATTCCTAGACCTCATAGGTCTGAATGTGGCAGTGTTACTTTTCTTGACCAATATTCCCAGAAGCAGCAAGGCCTGTGGTTATGTTGGCTGGAGATTCTAGCAGGTGTGATTTAAAAAAATGCAAGGGATGATGTGGGGTAATTCATGCCTTTTTGTCAACAACATTCTCTTCCATTGCCTAAGGCAACGTGGGCCCTTTTTAATATGTCACTTTCCAGTTCCAAGCTGTTCTTGCACAAGACCTCTGAAAATAGGTCATGTTCTTATTTACCCAAGCTCCAGTGGAGGCACTGAACAGAACAGATTCCACGCATATTTAACCTTTGCTGCATATGGATACTTTTCAATGTATGGGTAATTTTGCAGTGATTTAATTTTTAATTCATTTTATGGAGAGAGTAAAGAGATAAATAACTCAGCTAATTCTTTTTCACAATGCTAATCATAAGCCTTTGGAGTAGAGAGTTACTTTTGCAATTCTGTCTGGCTAGACTGGATTGACATGTGTTACAGCATCTAGCTCCAGTTCTAAAATTAAGCAACATAGTACGCAAACAGAAAATGCATCATCAAATAACTTTGTCGGGCTTTGCTTTATTGCCTTAAAGCATAATCATACAATTTACAATGGACTGGATCCGGCTATGTATTGTTGAGTTAATGCAGTTTGGCACTTCTTTAGCTATCATGGCTCAATGCTATTGGATCCTGGGAAGCACCAGAGATAGCTAAATACCCTGTAAAACTATAATTCCCACAATTAAGCCATGACAGTGAAAGTGGTGTCAAACTGCATTAATTCTACAGTATACATGCCCTCAAGTTGGCTTCAAGTTTTGGTGAACTATAAATATATGACACCTCCGGTTCAGACCTATAAAGTACTGTAAAATACTGATGTATATCCCCCAGTGGTGCACTGAGTTAAACTGCTGAGCTGCTGAACTTGCTGACTGAAAGGTCACTGGTTCAAATCCGGGGAGCAGGGTGAGCTCCAACTGTTAGCTTCTGCCAACCTAGCAGTTTGAAAACATGCAAAATGTGAGTAGATCAATAGGTATCGCTCCAGCAGGAATGTAATGGCGCTCCATTCAGTCACGCTGGCCACATGACCTTGGAGGTGTCTATGGACAACGCCAGCTCTTCGACTTAAA